GGAAATAATAAATGTGTTAAAGTTGGATAGATTGGTCTTCTCACTTTGTAGCCCATGGAAATGTCGGTAGAGTGATTTGGAGGAAATGATCAAATGCCTTCTAGAACCTTCCTAATGCAAAATAATTCTCTCTCTAACTTGCAATTAAATTTTATTTATTTCATTAGCTTTCAACTTTTCTTTTTTAGTTCTTAAAATTTAAAAAGATAATTTATTTTGATCCCAACCATTAAATTTGTCATTCGTGGTTTAAGTGGATGGACAGCGTGTGACTTCAAATATGTTATTAACATTTCTAATATTCATTTATTTTGCATCAATAACCATTTTAAAAGTTGGGAGGAAAATTATTCATTTTAGGTTAAATATAATGATTAAAATATAAATTTTGGAAGTTTACGGATCAAAATGAAATAAAGATTAAAGTTTAGGGATCAAAATACTAGCCTACTAGAATATTTTATATATATAATTTTAGAGTTCAACAATATATATGTGAAAGTGAAAATTTGAACTTCGACGATTGAAGATATATATTTTAACAAGTTATTGTAATTAAAAAATGGATAAAATTAACGAATTTAAGTATTTTGAAAATAAATCATTAGGGAGAATAGATTAAAAAATGAAAAGAAAGAGAGAGAACAAGACATTTGAAATGATAGTTAGATTTTTTTTCTTTTTTTTTTTTAAGAAATAGTAATTAGAAACTTAGAAATATATTTTTCAATTAATTTTGTTTTTAAAAAGTAACTTCAACCAGCCTCTTAATCATTAGTTTGGTTCCTTTTTTCTTCCTCTTTCAAAAGTGATTGCTAATTTGATTAAGACATGCGATCAAATTAAAATATATATAATAGTTGTCAATTTGGATGGATAAGTTTTCTTAATTAATGTCAACTTAATTAAAAAGTGTAATTGATTCAAAATACACATTGTTTAAAAAAAAGAAAAAATCTATCTACTTCAAAATTTAATTTTCTTATAATTGCCATGAATGAATTAAATTTTGTGATAAGATTCAAATTAAATTGTTGTAATTTAATGCAACTGCAAACTTTTTCTCTCATACTTTAAATGCTTATGGAACCATATGATTTCATTACACATAAAACATATCTCTTATTGACATGACTAGCGGTAAAATAAAAATTCTACCGAATCGACATGACTATATCTAAATCAAAACAATAATTAATATAACCATTGATATTTATTGATGAATGATGTCGTGTAAGCCATTTTTTCAAATTAAAAAGGTTTAGTTGTAAAGTAGTATGAAAAATTGGATCGTCATGTCTATTAAAAAAATCTATAAATTTAGTCTCTAAAATACTTAAAAAAAAAATCTACTTATATCCATAATTTTTATTTGTAATTTTATACCGTGTCTATAGTCAACATTTTTAACTAAATAATGATATGACATATGGTGATTTAAGTATGACGTGACAGATAAATAACACAAGGAAGTAGATAATTGTACAAAATAGAGCGTGACAATATGTATGCTCGAAGCAAGGTATATCATATTCCTTTAATGTGCAGTATCATTTTATTTTATCCAATTGTGACAACAACATTGATGAACATTTTAACATTAACGTCAATCCATTACACATGGCAAGTAAGTTATTACAAATTGAGTCATGTGACAAGATGGACAATTTAATTTTTTTGAATGGAAATGTTTAACTCAATCTATTATAATTCAACCTCACATAATGTAACATAGGTTAAATTATAAGGTTAGTTTTTTAAACTTGCAGAGTTTAATTTATTTAATTTTTATACTTTAAAAAGATTTTAATAGACCGATTCAAATTTTCTATTTTTGTGTCTAATAGATTCTTATCCTAACTTAGTTTAACGCTTACGCAATCAGATATTTGAATTTATCTAAAATCAGATATCTCTACCATTCTTAAAATATACGATAAGAGTTTAAAATAGGGGTGTTCAAAAAACCCGATAAAGTCATATAGTTTAGGTTGGATAGGGTTGAAATAAAGAAAAATTTCACAATTTGGATCGAACCAAACCAACTCAAACTTATCGTTAATTTTAAAACTATTTATTTAACTCACTATAAAATTATATACCCACGGTACTTTTATTTTATTTTATTTTTATAAATAAATATTGATTTAAATTCAATATTAGAAAATATGTAAATAAGTGTTTATGATATTAGTATTTACTTTTTCTTATCCTATAATATGTTGAGTGAGTGACCTAACTAATCCGAACCAACGCAATCTAAATATTTCTAGGTCGTTAAATTGAGTTTAGGTTATTTGGATCGAATAAATTTACAATTGGTTGGGTCTAAAAAGTACTACCACCCCATCCAACTTAACCTATGAATATCCCCAGTAAAAATCTATTTAGAGATCAACGTGCACGCTCACACATTTAATTGGAAAGTGAATAAACACGAACATAATTTAGTAGTTAGGATATCTTGTTCCTTTTTCAAAAGTTCGAAATTCAATTTCTCATCTATAAATTTATCGTATTAAAAAATTTTTAAGAGAAAGAAACAAAGAAAAATGGATGAGAGAGAGGGGTGGTGGTGGGCATGTGAGGGGGCAAATGCAGCCATGTGGGTGTGTTGGGATTATTAATCATTTCTCACAAACACACCATATTCCATTGGTCCCCTTCCCCTTTCACATCTCTCTCCACACCACTTTCTTTCTCTTTCCATAAATTATTAAAAGATTTAACAACGTAGCTGATGATTCTACGAGATAGAAGAATTAGATCAGAGAAAGTATCGGTTAACTCCCAATCTCGATCTCTATTAATTGGATATGGATGGATATGAAACTAGGTGGAGGGGTTCTAAGGAGCTTCGTGTTTATTCGCCACGTTGATTTTTCTTTCTTCTATGAAGATTCGAACATCTAATTTTACGTACAAATTATATTTTTTACTATTTTACCTATATTATGTTATTATCTGTATCCAACGGTTGCAAGAGACAATCACATCGAATAATTTTTTGCTTCGCACCGATGTCTCTCTCCAACTTTTTTTTTCCTCACTCCCTCCACTATTTTGTCTCTCTCTCTCATCCCCACGAGGTGTTTGTTGAAATTCCCGAGTGAATTTTTGCTACCGACACCTTTCTCTCTCTCTCTCCTATTCTCACCCACTTGGATTTTGACATTTTGATTTGATTTTTCTTTCAACTTCTTGTATTAATTGTTATATACTAGTATATGGTTATGTATATTTATAATTAAAATAGAAACGAAAATAATTTCTTTTGTTCCATTACATCCAAAAATTCTAATAATAACGTACAAAAGGCGTCGAAAAACTATCATTAGAAGGTGATCGGGCTGATCAATCATTAAGTTGTGTTGTTTGTGGTGTAATTTATGAATGTTGGGAGAGCAAATTTTTTTCATAAAATTATTGAAAAGTGCGACTTTGATCGCTTTAAAGAGGGAATATGGAAAAACCTATATATATATATATATATTTTCTAATTCACATTTTAAATTTTAAATTATTAATGGTTGGTGAATCATTTAGGAACGAGTACAGTCACATGATTTAAATGTCCCGACGAATAGATTCAATGGTTTTTGTAAATGAAATATTTAGAAATGATAATTATTTTTTAATGAGCAGGATGATGATTGACAATTGGGAAAAGCGTTGGTGTTTAATTAAATTAATAATATTGAGATTTTGTTCGTTAAAAGACCCGAAAATAGGAGATTCTTTGAAGACATAATGGAATTTTTGTTATTTGTGAATTGTGGAAATTCATAATAATAGGAAAATGGAAATGACTGATTTTTTTTTTCTAACATATATATATATATAATTCGAGATTAAATATTAGACTTCAAAGAAGAAAAAGGAGAGAGAGAAATTGACACGTCATATCGACGATGACGTGGGTTACACGCAATCTCCACGAAGTTTTGATTATGAGATTTTGTATTTCAACTGATTTTTTTTCTCTCTTTTTCTTTTCCTATCTATAAGCTTTTTTCTTTTATGGCTTTCTTGAAAATAACTACGTAAAAAGTTCATTAAAAAGAGATAGTATATATTTAGAGATTTTGTTTTATTTTTTAGAAAAAAGTATATCAAATACTTTTTTTTTCTTTTTAGAAATGGAGAAGAAAATCCAAAAATTTATGGTAATGTTTAAACCTTCACCGTACCTTTTCATATAATTATTTTAAAATAAAGAAATGTCCTCGAAGTTCATTTGGTAATATTTTTGTTTATTGTTTATTGTTTCTAATTTTTGGTATCTATTTCTGTTCTTCGTTTTTCATTTTTAAAAAAYATTTCCAAAGTTGTATAGAGATTTTAGAAAGAATAAAATAAGCTTTCTTATTCTAATTTCTATTTTTCTCAAAACATAAATAAAAATATTATTTTGTTATTATTTTTAACGTGTAAGACATGTACTAAAAAAAACTTGTAAGACATAATAATTATTATTTTTCTTAAAACATGAATAAAAGCATTATTTTATTATTTTTTTAACTTGTAAGACATAATAATTACACTCGACAACTGGACTATAGCTCAACTAGTTAAAATACTTATGTCTTCGGGAGGTCGTGCACTCGAATTTCCCACCCACATGTTCTACTGAAATTATATAAAAGATAAAACAAAAAAAATAGAAATAGAATGTTACGGGTCYTAAGTTTGAGATATATGTCAATTAATACTGAACTATGTTCGTTTTGATATAAAGATGTCAATTAATACTGATTTATGTTCGCTTTGACATAAAGATTGGATTATTAAAAGTAGAATATGATTAAAATTTTTAATAATCTTGTTTAATGAAATGCGACCACTCCTTCCATAGTTTTTATGATTAGAAAAGTTAAAGAACTGTCAACTAAAAGAATAATAAGCACGAAATAGGAAAAGGAAAAAGAAATCCACAGCAGAAACTTGGGCCATGGCGGCCCAGATTCCTAATTATAGTTATGGGCCCATATGCGTTAAAGTTTGAAATTGGGCCGCATCAATAAAGCCCATAACTTCAAATATGCTCCTCAAATTCAAGTTCAAAGTGAACATGTATTCTAAAAAGGAGAGGAAAAAAAAAAGGATACAATTATTAAGAGAAATTTTAAAAATGAATATTTAAGAAGGAAAATCTAGTCTACATCATACAAAGGTAAAAACAAACAGCAAACTTTCCTTTTTACTTTTTCAACTTAAGAAGTGAAAGATATTAAGGATTCAACAAACACCCAAAACTTTTATTAGTTTTCCAGACCATCGTCTCGTTTGCTATTTCTTTTTTCTAATCCTTGTACTTCATCTCGGACATGGCAAAACCGGGCATGTCGAATGAGCCAGAGAATTTCTCGACATCAGCCTTGAGTCCTTCGATGTCCTTGTTGTTTACCAGACCCTTGTTGAAGTCCTTCAACAGCTTTCCATATTCCTTCTGGATGTTCAAGGTGATGGTCACGGCACGGTGCAGGAACTCGGCAATCTGTTCGAAGTCTTTCTCGACCAAACCTCTCGAAGTCATGGCAGGAGCACCTATCATCACACAAGACATATTTCGTCAATTGATCGCATGTAAACAAGTTAAAGGACCGTTGATGATGGAATAATCTTCTAATGATCTTGTTCTTACCGATCCGAACGCCTCCGGGAGCCAGTGCACTGCTGTCGCCGAACACAGCATTTTTGTTCACAGTGATGTTGCACAAGTCGCAAAGCTTCTCAACCTTGTTGCCTGCCAAAGGAATTACCACAAAATCAATATACGAAAAGAACAGAACATTACAACCATTCTCCTAGTTCTCTTAAGTTGATTGGCATGGATTTACCAGTCAATCCCAAAGGACGAAGATCCCAGAGAACGAGGTGGTTCTCAGTTCCTCCGGTGACGAGCTTGTAGCCCTTGTTCATCAGGTAATTCCCGAGGGCTACGGCATTGGCCTTAACTTGTTTGGCATAGGCCTTGAACCCAGGGGACATAGCTTGCTTCAAGGCCACAGCTAAAGCACCAATTTGGTGATTGTGAGGGCCACCCTGAAGGGCGGGGAAGACAGAGAAGTTGATCTTGTCTTCAAAGTCATAAACAGCATCCTCAGGCTGACCCTTCTTAGGTGGCTTTGGACCCTTCCTATAGAAGATCATACCAGCCCTTGGACCCCTCAAACTCTTGTGAGTTGTGGTCGTCACGACATCACAATACTCGAACGGGTTCGCAGCTTCCTACAAACAATTATCTGACATTAATATTTTGCAATACCAGCCCAGACCCAAATCACTTAAAGTTGCAAGGATAGAAACAGAGATCATAAACAATCGTAATGGGAATTAAAAACAAAAGGATAATTGAAATATTAAATACAGGATTTGTTTTACATTGGAACAGAATTCAACTAGAAGCAGAAACGTCCACATTTCCCCTGAGTTGATCTTAATTTCAGCATTTAAAGCGGAATCTTATAGAAAAGACGAGGAATATAAAATATTAGCTAAAGACAACGAAAATCATAACAGTTTTGCCAATCAAAAGAACATAATTTATCTTCCGTTACAAAGAAGCAATGCAGCATGGATAATTCAGTATTAACTACGATTTACCAAAATCCAGATCCTGCTTAACAAGATGCTCAAACAATAATGGATCTAGAACCCTGTTCCATTTCTTAATTAATGCAATGAAACACAGATGTACGAAAGATATTATGAACACCCTAAGAATGTTAGCTACAAATATCAACAGATCTCAAATCCGGAAATGTAAAACAACAGACAATAATTAACACTCGCACGGAAAAGAATAACGTGCAAGAATTACTAAAGGATCTGAACTCAACGACCAGATTCTTATATTTCTTTCTTTAATATACCTGTGCAGCAACGAGTCCACTAATGTGAGCCATATCACAGAGCAGGAGGGCACCGCATTTGTCGGCAATTGCCCTGAATCTGGCGTAATCCCAGTCCCTAGGATACGCACTGCCACCGCAGATGATCAACTTGGGTCTGAAATCCAAGGCCTTCTCCTCCAGCTTATCGTAATCAATATATCCAGTCGCCGAATCGACCTTGTAAGGCAAACTCTCGAAGTAAATCGAGGTAGCCGAGATCTTCTTCCCGCCGGAGGTGTAGTAACCATGCGTCAAATGGCCACCAGACGGAAGATCCAGCCCCATAATCCGGTCATGCGGCTGAAGCAGCGCGGTGTAGGCGGCGAAGTTGGCCGGCGAGCCAGAGTAGGGCTGGACATTTACCCCCCACTTAGCAGGATCGGCATGAAACGCCTCGAGAGCTCGAGAACGGCAGAGATTCTCGATCTCGTCGATGAATTCATTGCCGCCGTAGTAGCGGTTCCCCGGCATGCCCTCGGAGTACTTGTTGGTTAAGGCGCTGCCGAGGGCCTCGATTACGGCGAAGGAGGTGAAATTCTCGGAGGCAATGAGCTCGATTCCTCGGCATTGACGGCGCTTCTCCTTCTCAATCAGATCGAAGATCTCAGGATCGACGGCCTTGAGAGGAGTGTTGCCCCAAGCATTGACGGGTTCCATGGCGGATGAGAGTGAGAGAATTGAAACACAGATTTGGAGATGAAGAAGAAGAAGAAGAAGCTGAAAATGGGGGCAATGCAGTTGCAGATGAGAGAATTTGTGGGGTTTTAAAGGGGGCTTCTGATAGGCTGAATTTACGAAAATAGCCTTTACCATTTTTTTGGGGGTTTTTTTTTTTATTAAAGTTGTCTAGGTGTCGACATTAGCTCCACACCACAGTTGATTTTTTTTTTAAATTATTATTTATTTTTTTTACATTAGATGAATTTATGATTTTCACAACTATTTTTTATTGTGATTTTTTTTAACATTAAAAAATACACCTTCTTGTATTTCGATTTCTATAGTTTGAAAAGTTTTCACAAAGTTAATACATGGCACATTTTTAATTTACCTGGTAATAAGCAAGTTTTTCATCTTATCGAGTGTGCCTAACAATATTAGAATTTATGCCTAAGTGAACAAATTAATAATGTTAATTTTAGACTTTTAAAAGTTTATATTAATATTAAAGTTTAGATAAGAAATTATTTTAGTCACTATTATTAATTTCTCAATAAATTGTTTTGTAGAAATTTGAACAAACATATATATATATATTTTTCACGTTTACTAATTTAAAAAAAAAAAACTCCCCCTAAAGATCGAGGATGAGGCTCCTTCTCAATTTCTGTGTTGTCCAATAACATATAGACAAATGTTTTTTTCTTATATATAATTCATGCGTGGTCCACTTGTCTATATGCTACTGAACGATGCAGAAATTCAGGAGGCCTCCTGAATCTTCAAGAAAGAARTTTTGTCCATATTTAAATACAAAGTGTTTAAAGTCATATCTAATAGATTAGTAGATGGATTTTCAAATGAATTTAGATTTTTATTTAACAGTAAAAATTAAAATAAATTTTTAATGTAAAATTTATATATTTTAACAAAAATTCGAAAATGGAAGTTAGGCCAACATTTCAGTAATCAAGACAAATGTACTATCTTTCAGGAACGGATGTTCAAATTTTAATAACACATTTATTATACTAAAAAATATTGAAAGATCAAAAATAAAATTAGGTGGTTTTAAAATATAATATGTTTTAAAAAGGTTCAGATTCATTGATAATTAAAAAAAAAATAGAAATAAAAATAAAATAAAAGGATCACAAACTCAAGAGTACTTAATGAAGTACGACATAAGAAAAGGAAAAAAAAAAGCCTTTCTCTCTCTCATTCTATTTATATTTATATTATTTTATTTACCATCAATCATTTAGAGAATATAAAACGGTCTAGCTTATTTATTCAGCCCAATTTCCCCTTAGTAGAGTTGTCAAATTTTTTAGGTAATTACATAAACAATAAAATAAAAATATTTATTTAAAAGAAAAAGCAGTAAGCTTAATTTTTACACAAATAGCATAACATGATTTGAATTCGCTATATTGGCTCACGTTAAGTATGATTAAAAAAATAGGGGGAAATGAATTGCTTTTCGAGTGGGTAAAAAATGGTTAAGTATGATTAAAAAATAGGGGGAAATGAATTGCTTTTCAAGTGGGTAAAAAATCGTTTAGAGACAGTTGGTTAAGTTTAACAAAATCATTGAAACTTTAATAACCATAGAAATCAAATTGAGACTAGAACCAAATTGAAACTTTTAAAATCAGAAATATCAAATTTAAGTTGAACCTAAACCACATAAAGATAAAATCGTAATTTAACCAATTTTTTTTTATTATTGAAGATAAAGATGAAGGTGCACTAGAGATTATTCCAACTTCGCTCGGGTGTAAGCTTGTAGGCTATTAATTCCACTACACAAGGCATTTGTAGAGGAAAAGCTTGATCCCAACGAATAGAAAATACGCTAAGATAGTTCTTCATTGTGTTCCAATTATTTTCACTCATCCCAATATTGTTATATGTAGGCTTCCATTATCTAAGACAAACTAATAACTTATACAATTCATGCGTGCACCTATTAAAGGGTTAAGCCATTCTTCGAGAGTCAAATTAGTAACAATCCACGACTCGAATTACTTAATGGAAATCCTAGCACGGAGATCACTCCTCCCTCTATGTCGTTCTCTCGCAGTTTTAACTTTAAACTTTTTATTTCATCAAATTAGTTATGAGTAAAATCCTTATCTAGTTACATTTTAGGTTCTTTTTTTGATTTATAGTTATGTAACTATAAAAACTATCTTTATGAGTATTATTTATTCTAATTGTGTATAAATTTTTAGTTAGATTTTAAAATTTATCGTTGAGTTCATACATCTTTTTACTAATTTAATTATGTGACTAAGTTCGAGTATTTCATCGTTGGATTTATATACTTCTATTATATATTAATTGATTAGTGAGTCATTATTAAATTTAATTTCGAGAAATTATTAATAAACAACGCATATTCAAGTTTAATATTTAATTTAAAGTTGAGATTAACTTACTAAATTAAATATGGGAGTAACAATTATTACCTTTCTATTCATTATTATTAACTAGGCTGGACAGATTCGCCCAGGGGTCAAAATGTCGAGAGACATGCCGACATGTCGCTGGACATGTCGACGTGTCGAGCATGTCGACATAGACATAGGAGAGAAAAGTCGATTCCCCCCCATGTCGTCAACATGTCTTTTTTTTTTTCTATTTTTCTTTAAGATTGTTTTATTTTTTATCCTCTTCTTACTATACCACTACAGTCTATAATTTCTCACAACCTCGATGATTGTAATCTTAGTCTATTCAATGATTCGAATTTTAATACTGTAATAAAGTATAACTAATAATATTTCGAATTTGCTTTATTGATAATTTTTAATCCAATCTAGTCCTTACTTACACAATTAAACAATATATGTGAAATATTGACATATATAAAGATTGAAATAATCTTAGAATTTTTAAAAAATAAAAATATCATTATATACAGATAGTGGTGAAACATGAAGTGAAATAGGTAACTTAATTAATACCAAAAAGATGATCTCGGAGGATCTAGTGCACTATCTTGATAACTTTGATATAAATTACAATAGTTCTCTCCGGTCATCCTAGAGTGAAAGTAGTTGCTCAAATGAGTAGAATATGAAGCACATATGGATCCCATTGGTAGATACGTTGGAAAAATGACACAATCACGAAGTTGAGAGTGTTGAAAACTGTGTAAATTTGATTGGAAAGTTGGATTGATGATTGATTTGAAAATGTGTTTGAAAAATGGGTAACTTCAAATTTAAAAAGAGAAGTAAGTAAAAAGTAAACAAGTACGAGTTAATTAGAATTTAGAAATATGTTTGGAAATCAAGTCGGTAATTCAATCTTATTATGAAAAACACTAAAAAAGTAGTCAAAAGTTTACAATTAAAGTTTATTTTACATATTCAAATAATTTCCATCGATCTTCATTAAAGGAAAAAAAATATTTTTTCGATATTTTCATCGACATCGACATTTTCATAATTAAAATGGTCATATTCTTACATTTAATGGTTAAAAGTGATCAATTATAGGCTAATTAAGCTACCATTAAGTTTATTTGCTAATTCAAAAAATTTCCATCCATTTCCACAATTTCCATTATTTTTCTCAAAATATTCATCGATATCAACATATCCATCGACATGTCCGTAAAATCGGGACATCGATATTTTCATCGACATCTACATTTTGAATACTGATTATCCCCAATAATGACGTAGGACGACATGATGACTCTTGTACGTGTTCGTCATGTCGTTTAATTTTCAAGCTTTCGTTGAAAGAATATGAGAAATAGGAAAGCTTCAAAACGCTGCGTTTGGTCGACAGTAGCTTTATGGTATTGGTGGAGGAAACTAAAAAGACGAATATGGTGGGTGGATCGGGTAGGGACCTGGGAGTAGTTGAGGGCAATTTAGTCATTTCGTTTCACCAACCTCTTTGCAATAAAATAACTCTCTTGCTTTTGCTTCCCATTCCTACTTTTGTGGGACTCATAAAATTATTTTGGATCTTTCAATTTTATTATTTGAAAGGAAAAAAAAATCTTTTATTTTTTTGTTTCTTTCTCAATATTTTAAAATCATCAAATCTCCATTTATGTTTTTTAAAATTTAACTAAGATTTTCATCAACATTTTTTAAAACCATAAATCCATGTCACAATTTAATTATCAAAATTTAACTGATGCGGCCAACTCAAATGTAACATAGTTCAAATATTTAAAAATTGTAGGTTCGATTCTTCTCTTTTATTTGATGAACGTTGGTACAAATAATCCTTTTTTTTTCCTCAAAATTTATGTGTGATCATAACACAAGAAAAACAAATTTACTTTTCCTATCAATTTTCTTGTCTAGGAAAACTAAGGGGGTCATTTTCCTAGTTACCAAACAAGTTTGGTGGGAGATCTATGTAGTTGGCTTATGTATTCCAAAACTAGGTAAGACTTTGAGAAATTACACACCAGTTTGATAGTGAAATTTAGAAAAAGTAATATCTATGTATTAACCAATCAATCCTC